AAAAAAAAAAAAAAAGCTGATACATGTCTAGAGGCCCGCAGTGTGTATAATATTTACAATTGTTAAAACTTAGTTGTAATAATTACAATAATAGTACAAATATATGTTATATACAATACCTAATAATTATATTTATTCTTGAATGTGCAATCAAAAAATGATCAGGCATATAAATAACATAAATTAACTAGAAGCAGTAACGTTCAAATGCTCAACAGTAGTAATAAAAGGAATAAAAAATAAAATTGATTTGAGAAATGTACACATGAAAAACATCTTTCTATTTATGTAAAGTATTGTGAGGGACCCACCATGAGAGTGACTAAAATTAGTATGAGTTATCTAATTATATAGTAAACCGATATAAGACTCGTTTAATGAACATTTTATGCAATCATAATAGTTATACTATAATAATAAAAAAGTCTTAATAAGTTTCGAAAAGTAAATGCTGAAAGTTTAAAAGCCTATAAGAATTATATGAAAATTTTGAAATGTCCACCAAATTCATTAAAGTTTCACGAAGTCCACTAAAGTCACAGACTTTCGAAAGTCTTCAAGAGTTCCAATTGAATGTACCCCCTTAGGGTTTCTCAGGTTATGATTGCATGGATGCTGACATTGGGGTTTTTTTACTTTGGCAGGGAGTAGTTGAATTTCTTTGCTGGAAGAACGAAGTATTTTACAATTGTAAATGGACATAGATGAAAATATAATTATGAACGTGATTTGAAAGAAAAATAGTATAACAAGAATTGGATTCTGATTGCTAGTTGACATATGAGTTAGTGAATGGGGTCATTAGGAATGTAAATGTAGTGTTTATGATTTTTGTAAAAATGAATTGGTATGATTTGTGGAGAAGAAATGAAAATAAGTGAACGGCATAAATTGTAATATATTGACAACGATTTTCTTTTCATTTAAAATTTCTCATGTGGGTTTGGACAATTGTTATTTCCATCAAAATGCAGGCATTGCAAGGCAAGGCAGTCAGCCATAGTCAAGGACAAAAGAGATAAACAACAAAAGGTGCTGCGGATTGTACTTTATATTTGATAATATTATTGAACTGTCTTGACAGGCAACTTTTGATGAATAGGATAAGCGACTGATCTTGACTATGGAAGATCTTTCCAAGGCTCTGCGTGAGGTAACTGGCTAATTAGCATGGTCGTTTGTTCCGACATATGTCTGCTTCATGGATTAGTTTCATTACCTTGTTATTGTGGAGTGTGGAAGTAAAATAAAAATATGCCTTCTCTTTCCCCAGCTTCTGAATTTCTATCTTTTGTTATTCAAACTGCTGTTACAGAGACATTCCATCTTGTTTCAACCATCACTTGGGGAACGAACATATTCTAAGTGTTATTTGGAATTCGAATATTCATATCTATAGATACTGAGACATTGATTTTCTGTATTCGTTGCAGTATGGCGTGAATGTCAAACATCAAGAATACTTTGCCGACAGCCCATCTGCCGGTTTAGATCCTGCTACAAGAGATGAGTGACAATCCCAGTGCCAATTGGAACTATGTTTATTTTGTCTCAAGGTGTGTGGACTACTGACAGGTTACAGATATATTTTGTTATGGCACACTAGTTAATCTAACAGAACTCCATATGGAAAACATGTTTCCTTTTTATTTCTCCTGGTATTTGTTATCAGTTGACTTTTATTTTGTCAATCATCAACAATATTTGTTCTGATACATGGGGGGAATCTTCACCGACCACCCAGTGTTTGGTATGGTATGGTTATATAGGTCTCAGACGAACATTATCAAGAAAACGAGTTATTTGAATTGTTCATTAGTGTTACATTAAAGCAATTCATGTTTTTCGGGGTGTATTTAGTTGCACACTAATAATTATCGGGGGAACTAATAAGGGCATCCACATTGGTTAATTTTTTTTTCATTTATTTAATCAAAAAGTTACACTTTCTCATCCACACCATCTTTCCACTAATTCTATCTCCATTTAAACACAAATATGAGACCTATTATATCTATTCATTCAATATAAATTTTAATATTCTATTCTCAATAAAAATTAAAATTTAATATTTTTAAATTATAATAATAAATTTTAAATGCATGAAAATAAAAGAACACTACAAGACCAAAATAACTTAAATTAAAATTACACAAGAAAAAATAGTACAATTACAAAAAATAATTTTTTTAGTGGCTAAAATGAGTCTAAATATGCTCAACTAAAACGACACGAAGTTGATGATGTATTGTGTTATCTCGTATCTCTGAACTTCTACGGATATAATTTTAAAATTCTCGATTTGAATCCTGGACAGGTTGTGCGGGCCCTTCATCCTCGTCATTATGCCAATAGGTTACTACAACTCCTTCATTTTCAACAATCATATTGTGTAGAATAATGCATGTCAAATAACAAATTTCAGTTTTCTTCTATACCAAAATCGAGCAGGACCTCTTACAATTGCCCACATTGAAGCACCACAAATGCTCTTTCCACATCCTTTCGAGCAGCTTCTTGTTTTTCTTTAAGTAACTTTCTTTTAGGATCTGATGGGCAAGGAAAACACTTTACGAACGTAGCCCATTCTGGATATATTTCATCTGCAAGATAATACCCATTTGCATATTGCGTGCCGTTGATAGTAAATGAATATTTGGTGCATTTTCGTGCAACACATTATTAAATAGAGGAGATTCATACAATACATTGATATCGTTACGTGATCCTGCAACACCAAAAAGGGCATGTCATATCCACAAATCGTTTGAAGCAATTGCTTCAAGGACAATCGTAGGAGACCCATGTCCTCTTGTGAATTGGCCTTTCCAAGCAACTGGACAATTTTTCCATTCTCAATGCATACAAGCAAGGCTTACAAGCATACCCGAAAAACCATGATTTTCTTCATGTATTTGGAGGAGTCTTTGAACATCGCTACTGTTCAGTCTTCTCAAATATTCATCATCGAAAATTTCAACCACACTTTCACAAAATTTAAAAAGACATTTGATAGCAGTTGACTCACCCATAAGTAAATACTCATCAAGGTGGTCAGTTGGGATTCCATATGCCAACTGACGAATGCCTGTTGTGCATTTCTGAAGTGGTGACAAACTTTGTCTTCCTGTCGCATCAATGCTTTGCTTGAAATATGATGATCGTGTCTGAAGTGCATTCACAATTCGAAGGAATAATTCTCTTTGCATACGGAAACGCATACGAAATATACGATCCGAGTAGACTGGATGGTCAGAGAAATAATCACTTACAAGTCTGTTATGCCCATCTTCTCGATTTCTCTGGATGAACCTGCTCCTTCTGCGAACTTCAATTTCATGTTGGTATGCTTGAAGTAACTCGTGGCTTCGTGGAACGATTGATGAAATCATTTCAAATTCTAAATCGTTAGTGTCATCACCATCTTCACTATTGGTGGATGATGGTGAATTAGACTCAGATCTATATGAATTTTGTGATATTTTTTAGGATTCCAATTGATTTTAAAGGGTGTAAATTGTTAGAAAATAGAATTGGACAAGATGAAATAACAACACACCACCAATGTGAAAACAATAAAAGGGCTCACACTCTAAACTCGACTCTTTCTTTTTCTTTCACTTGGAATGAGATACAAAATGAGGTATTTATAGCCAAACAAATGCTTTTGCAAGGAAGTTTCAAGGAAGCTCCCTTCATCTGACTAGAAACTTACGAGGAAGTTCCCTTTCTTTGACCAAGAAGTTGTAAGGAAGCTCCCTTCCTTTGACTAGGAAATTGTGAGGAAGCTCCCTTCCTTTGACTAAGAAATTGTGAGGAAGCATCCTTATTTTTACTAGGAAATATGTGAGTTTTCTTTGAATAAATATGTGAGTTTCCTTTGAATAATAACAAGAACAACTTAAATGAAATACAAGCTAAAAGTTCAATTTTGCAAATCACAACGTACAGAATTACAAGGATAATTAAAATAGATAATGCAGAGTCCACAGGTTCCATTTCTCTCGAATTACTTGACACATTTTCTCATGAGAAATACGTTGCACTTGGGTCATGTGGCTTGTATCCCTCATTAAAATATCATAGTCTTTTCGACGACTCCTCTGCTTATTTTCCTCAAGAGTTGCTTTTTTAACTTCAACTTCAGCTTCTTTCAAGCTTGTTAACTCAGCAAGATGCTTAACCATGATGTTGTATTCTGCGGTCATCTCATCAAGGTTAGATTTTCCTTTGCCCTTGGCCTTTCGTTTGGTTGCCTTCTGTCTGATTGGGCGAACCACTTCATGAAATTCATCTAGATCAATGCTCGCATCTCCCTTTGATGAAGTGTTGCTGGCACCAGACTCATCAATCATTTTTTTTTTTTTTCTGAACAAAAATATCATTAGAAGATTGTGGAGTGAACATAGGACGATCTTTTAGGATTCTCCACACATGCTCAATATTGAAGGTTACACCATTACTCTCACTACGATATTTTTTGTAAGCCCGACTTAATATATCCTCATCACTACAACCACTTCGATACACACAGTAAATACTGTTATAGCTCTCATTGAATCCATACACCTTTTTTGAATTGTATTATGTAGTGAGATCTTATTGTATTAAAATCTCTATAAATATAATCAGAAGGTCTATTTTCATTATAATATTTTGCAACACGTGCCCAAAACGCTTCGGCATTTTGATCATTACCAGTAATTGGATCGTCACTTATTGTCACATAAGCCTTTGCTAATAGCACGTCATCTTCCATTGTCCATTGTGGACGTTTTTTCTGGCCCTCAGCAGCAACACGTGTGTTTCTTGGCATTTCAACATTTATGGCTGCTCCACGATCCTGAAATTGTGTTTCCGGAATGTAAGTTTGAGTATCGAGTTCTTTTCTCATTTGAGATTTAGAAGATTGACTCGATTGTTGCGGAGAAGATTGTGCCAGATTTTGACTACTTATGCACTGCCAATATTCAGGCGATGGGTTTTGAAATAAAGTTTGTGGAGGTTATTGTGAATATTGAATATTGCCAGACATTTGATAATTTTAGGATTGCTGCATAAAAAGAAAATTGATGGGAATTGTGGAAAAAACTGTGTTGGGTAAGGAGCTTGCGAAAATGGTAAATTTGGCGGAGTTTGTGAATTTTGGAATAATGGAAATTAATCAGAATTGTTAGTATTAGAAATTGAAATTTTTTGAAAGTTTTGCCTATTGTTGGGATCCATTTTTTTCTTCAGAAATGAGAATTACTAATTTTTTGGTGTAGAAGAAGTGTAAGAATAAGATATATTTATAGGCAAAAAATGATGATAGAAAGTAAAAAAAAAAGGCTCAACGGATAGAATTGAAAAAAGGCTCAACGGATACAAAAATAATTGAATTACAATTAAATAAAAAAGAATAAAAAAAGGCTTGCAAAGAGCCGTTGAAAAAAAAAAGGAAAAAAGCACCGTTTAGACTATTGAATGGGCCCACCACTGTCGTTCAATAGTCTTTTTTTTTTTCGAAAAAAGGACTATTGAACGACAGTGGTGGGCCCATTCATTTGCACAATTAAATGGATGACTCACAATGGTTGAACATTAAATAAGCATTTAAACGAATAAATTGAACGGACCGTTGCGGATGCTCTAATATTCTTTTCAACTTTTTTTCAGTTTCTAAGCATAATATTATTCCACTACTCTTTCACTGGCATTAAGATATTATCCTCTTTGTTATTTTAAAATACCCTTATACTCATTTCAGTTCAGAAAACGTAGTACCACCTTTGTATTGACAATCGTACTTCTTTAATAAGTTAGTAGTGCCTACGTTGTGTATAGTATCTAATGTCTCGTGGGTTCATTCTAAAGAATACTTAAAATAGATTGAATAATAATTGGCCCAACATGCTTATGTAAAATTAAATAACTACATAATCACGTACCTTTGTTTGACCGAGATGGTTGCAACGCTATCAGTTGGAAAATTAATGCCCCTAGTTAGTTTTGTAGATGGCTCCTCTCCGTCCAACTCCGACTAATTCGGAAAGAATTACAAGTTGTACAATTCGTTCAGTTATTACTCAACACAGTTTTGGTTCGTTTCCCTTTCAAGTGTACAAGGACTTGAATATAGATATAAATGAAAATCACAACATAATGTTGTGAAGCAAATGCCTCTTTTTTTATTAAGAATTCAAATAGAATTTAATACATAAGTAATCTCCTTAATGTAAGAGAAAACCTTTTACCCTCTTATAACTGAGACAAACATTCATACACACATAAACTTGTAGAAATAAAAAAATTACAACTTATTTTTACTCATAACTCTCAAACTTTGTATAGAATAGGAAAACTGAAGGGAATGCTCGATGTTTTTCGCTTTCTCCAAAACATGTATTTATAGAGGTCTGAGGCTCATCTATTATTATTGCAATGGTAGGTGAGTGGAAGCTACGTGTATCACATGTTCATGGGTCTACTTTCTCCAGTTATTGTCCTAACTTTTTTCTTTCACATGATTGTT